TTACCGTTGGTGGTACCTTTGCTGTTGGTGGTACCTTTGCTGTTGGTGGTACCTTTGCTGTTGTTGATACCTTTGCTGTTGGTGGTACCTTTGCTGTTGGTGGTACATTTGCTGTTGGTGGTACCTTTGCTGTTGGTGGTAGGTACCCTTGCTGTTGGTGGTACTTTTGCTGTTAGTGGTACTTTTGATGTTGATGGTACCTTTACTGTTGGTGGTACCTTTGCTGTTGGTGGTACCTTTGCTGTTGGTGGTACTTTTGCTGTCGGTGGTACCTTTGCTGTTGGTGGTACTTTTGATGTTGGTGGTACTTTTGATGTTGATGGTACCTTTACTGTTGGTGGTACCCTTGCTGTTGGTGATACCTTTGCTGTTGGTGGTACCCTTGCTGTTGGTGGTACCTTTGCTGTTGGTGGTATCTTTGGTGTTGGTGGTAGGTACCTTTGCTGTTGGTGGTAGGTACCTTTGCTGTTGGTGGTACCCTTGCTGTTGGTGGTACCATCGGACCATGGAAAATATGCTGCCATTGTTTTCACTTTGATGTCTAACTTCTTTGTCAATTACTTTGGTGTTCTATATCCAAATCCAAAATTGGGGTTTATTTTGAGAAATACACAAGAAGACAAGAAAAAAGTGACAAAAAATTTGGGCGAGAAATTCTGGTGGTGAAAAAGGTTAATCTAGAAATCTCATCTATTGTATTTCACAATTCCTCTCTAACTCATGCAGGTCTACAGCAACAACTAGTGGCAAATAAAAAACAAACCTCTGGTTTGGTTGATTGTTTCTTGAACTTAAATTATATTTCACAACCGTCTCAGTTTACAGATTCTTCAGATAACTTTCACTGCAATAAGCATTGTCTTTGGTGAGTGAGCAACACTGTCTGATCTGTCATAGCTCGGACAATCTCGTCAAGTAGTCCATCAGTCAGTTCTTTGATTGTCTTACAAAAAATGTCAACTGCTTTCTTGTGATGCAGAATGTAACAGTGAAAAAGATGTTTGTATTTGAGGTACTGAGAATTTCACCGTATTACAAAACAACTCAACTTGGTTATCATCTTTGTAAAGAGCCAAAGAATTGAGCTTGAGAATCTTGTACAAGTTTGTATCAATGCATTCTTTATTGAACTTCTCAATTGTAGCAATATTTACATGAAGTTCATCATTCAAAAACTGGATGGATTGATTGTAATTTCATTCAACATCACGCAAAATACAATGTCCATGTACAAAACAATATTTACAAAATAAATGCATTTCTGTAATAGTATAACATATTTTTCTTTGCAAGTATTCTTTAAGTACTTAAGGGGGGTATCTACAAAAGGAAGAATCTAGGTCACAGGGAAGTATCAACTACCAATAAAAATTGTTCATGTAATAACAAAATAAGTATATTTTAGTACTGTAATAATATTGATTGAATAAATAATTCATCCAATATTTGTTGGAAACTTGGATGAATAGAGAATACATATTGTGTATAACATATTTAAGTTACTAGGTTCAAACTTCCCGACAATTGTGTATTTGTTTCCTTGCAAATCACAGTGAGATGTGCAAGAAGAATGTGCTTCAGTCTTTATTTGCAAGGCTGTGAGTGGTCAACAAAAGGATAGGAACTGGGATTCCAAAAAGGAAAACACATGGCCAGGAACTGGTATGGGTATGGTGATTGTACACAATCCATGGTATCAGATAGGCAGTGATTGTTAGACAAGGACTACTATGGAAAAGGTGGTACATCTATCCAGTGGTAGAAGATGTAAAGTCACTGTTATGGGACAGGTGACATACCATCCAATGATCACAAATGGAAATTACTATGAACCTGGTAGCACAACATCCTGTAAGAAATG